CCCAAATAACCCCAAATGACGAAGTTTCAGCAGATTTGGTGAAAACAGCCGTGGCGCCAAATTGGCGCCAAACGGCGCCAAATGGCGCCAAATGACACCAGCATCAAAAATGAATGTCATATTCGTAATCAGGGCATCGAATTACCCCAATAGACAAAGTTTCGACGAAAAATGAAACTTTGAGATTTTGGGGCAGTAATCGTGGGGGATCCGGCAATAGGGGAAGGCTGAAAACGGTGAAAAACCAAAGTTTCAACTGGGGAAGTAATGCATATCATTCGATAGCATTTTTCACGGGGAAGCTAACGGGGCACATTTCAGGTCTGCGAGTTCATCTGGAAATGCAAAAAATCTGAACATTCCACAAGGGCATGACGAGGAGGCATGTTTGGGGCCACACCACGGAAGGAACGCTCACTTGCGACCGAGTTTTCCACATAATTCCTACAGACAAGTGACCATAGTCTACGACAGTGAAGGAAATTCTTCGCTTCCTTTACAGCTTTCTACAAAACATTCCTCTAAAAATGGGACTTGTCACGTAATAGGGGGCAAAGGCATGACAAGGGGTGATGTTTGGGGTCACACCACGGAAGAAACGCTCACCTGCGACCAAGGTTTCCATATAATCCTTACAGACAAGTGACCGTAGTCTACGACAGTGAAGGAAATTGTTCGCTATCTTCACAGCTTTCTGCAAAACATCTCCTCTGAAAATGGAAAATGTCACATAATAGGCCCACTATGCCTGCTGAGAACTGTTCAAAGATTCCACTTGATATACAGAGGATGGGATATTGAGAGCAGAGGGAACACGTAAAGCCAGTAAGCGCTTAAAAACGAAATGAAGATCTAAGAATTCGGAAAATAACATTCATCTAATCTCACAATGTAGTGGATGAGATTGAGTACGTGGCGCATTCTGGGGTAAGTTTTGAGGCCCTTCTTTGTGTGTAGCGGTTAGCCCGCATAAGCGGGATTATATACACATCACATGCGAGCAACTACTTTTTGAGATGAAATCGAGTGCATGGCGCATTCCGAAATCAAGCTTTCTGAAAATATTTTAGCACCATCTTGTAGCGCTTGAAGAGCTGAGTTCAACGGTGTTTTCCGTTTCTGGAATACTTCACTCTGACCCGAGTTATAACGAATTCACGAAATTAACGAGGATTCGCGTTATTCGCGTGAATTTTCGATTTCAAACGGCGAGTACTGTACTCAACTTACGGCTAAAATTCGTGAACTTTTCAATTCGGCTAAACTCACACCTAACTCTTAAGAAAGAAGAAAAATTGTGAATGATATTTGATATCTGGTCAAAACCTTGAGAACGATAAAATTGCCATGTTGTAAGAAGTTCCAACTTATTACAGTAAAAAAAAAACGTATGCAAACCCTCTTCAATAAGCCCTTCAATTATGATCCATTCTTAACCCTGAATAGGCGTTTACTCAATCGAAACTTCTGCTGGAGGAGCCACTTCTGTTTGTGCTTTTATCATGTAGGCTAACTTACTTCGTCACCGCTCTCTAAAGTTGTTTATACGTTCGAGCTTCAGAAAACGGGCCTTGTTGGACCGTGCGGGATATGCGTACCGCGACAAATGCGGGTCGCAAAATCGCGTCGGTCCCACATGGGCCAAACACCAAAACTCACATTGTCGTCAAAGGCGTTAGGCATGTGGCCTCGACCTGCCCTCTGTCTGAAGTTAGCGTGAGTTTCACCCCTTCCTCAATGCATTCTAGAAGCGGATGACGGCGACGTTACGTGACCTCGCGGCCAACTATAAAGCTGTTATGGTGACCTTACGACCGTCCCTGGTAAAAGTTCTGAAGTTAGCGGCGCGATTCAGACTGATTGTTCAAAACGAAAATTCGACTCTCACAGCAGTTGATATATTTATCTGACCACAGTTGTTACGAAACATAAAATTATAGACAGGCCCTGGTTTTCAATGTGCTGCTGTTTCGTAACAGTACAAGTCGAACATAGCATCCTTCAGTGATCTCATCAGTCGTCACTTCCCGGTCCTTAATTAGCACCTCTTTATGATTAGAAGATTTCATATTATCTAAATCTGTCACGTATAGAATTACTATCAAAACTCTCCGTACCTGGAAAAGGAAGAGGTGGGCAGCGAGGTCCACCAGGGTTGATTTCTCCTGGTGGAAGTGGTCCACATGGATCAAACCCTCCCCATGGAGGTGGGGGCCCACATGGATCAAAAGGTCCAGGTGGAGGAGGTTCACACGGATCAAATCCTCCTGGTCGAGGAGGACCACCCTGGTTGTTCCCTCCTGTTGGAGAAGGACCACAAGGATCAAATGGTCCTGGTGGAGGAGGTGGACCACAAGGATCTCCTCCTCCTGGTCGGGGAGGACCGCCACCGGGTCTTATTCCTCCTGGTGGGGGGACTCGTTGATCGTCTCCATCTGGTCCCCAGGGTACTTCAGCAGAGTCGTCACCGCTTGGGCGGAATGGCCTCGGTCTAAATTGACCGAAGGCGAATAACAGAACTGCGTATGCCTGAAACGACTTCTTTATATGTGTAAAATCGTATTGTTAGAAATTTGGCAAACAGGTGGCGCTAAAATACAACTGTACCTCGGGATATTCATAACTCAGATTCCTCAGAGCCATTCTCTGTTCCATTTGGGTTTGGTCCTCATTATCCATTATTGTAGTGAACTGTTCCAGGACTGTGCTCAACTCGCTAATGAGGCTGGTGACGTTCTGCTTGACCTCATTTCTCGAGTTCGTCATGTTGGTTTCGAATTCTTGAACTTCTGCCTATAAGCGGGAAAACATAACTCCTTCTTCAGGAGTCTAAAGTTTCATAGAAAATTGAAGAAGGTAGGAAGACCCTCTGGTGTAAGCACTGTCGCAGAATTACCTCGAGTCCGTACTTCTGCGCCCATGTGAGAATGTCCTGCTTATTCTGCGTAATTGTCTCGTTTCTTCTGGAAACGATTGTAAAGTACTCGTCACGGGCTTCATCAGTGAGGTTTCGAAGGTAAGGTGGTGGTGGAGGAGGTATACCCACACCACATGGGTAGCCTCTACCACGCGGTTGGCACATCACTATGCTGGCGATTGCCAGCATTACGATGGCGATATTCATCCTAGAATAATACAACTTTTATTGAAATACGGAAAAGGCCTGGTTGTCACAGCAAAGGTGCCATTTTAAAGAAGGAACTTGATGATTGATTGCGTAGCAACAGGAGAAGTGCGGAATATCGCACCTGCTACTGTTTATATCCTTAGTTTTGACGCTGATCTATAAAAATTCCGCCTACTACTGCACTGAGCAGGATTGGTATATTTTGTTGTTGAGTTATACTGACAACAAAAAACATGACCAAAATCTCTTTACTCCTGCAGCGAAAGTGCTATAGTTCAGCGGCAACTAGTAAAACTTACGGCATGATCGATTTTTGCGTCCCGGATTTAATGCAACCTCAAAATGCGGGTTAACTTCTCCATAACACTTTGCGAGCAACTGCTAAGAGAGTGTGAGGACAAAAAAGGACTCCTACTGCCTTCCTCCAGTCATTCCATAGGCCAAAATGGACTCCACGCAAGCTGCAATCTTCTGAGGAAGAGTTGTGCGTGGCCCATCACCGGTACAGGACTCATCGATCCGGAGAAATATCTGACACCATGTATGTAGTTCTTCACATCGCAGGCCTTCTAGGCCAGGCTGGTAAACCATTATATTGGTTGCTATTGTAAGCCTGTAGGCCTTTTCCGGATCAAGAGACTAGTTTGCAGAAAACAGCCTTCTCAAGCGCGGAGGAATGATAGTACAAAAATGTAACGCACTGATTTCAGGTCGTCCTCACGTTTGGTATTTAATCCTGCAATGCGCGTGGTCGAGGCTTCTCTGCCTACACCCGTCGGACGCCTGAGCTCGCATCTCGCTCGTCTGATGCTCGACTACATCCGGTGCTACGGATCCACGGGACCTGCGGATAGCCGCCTATCGTCTATCGGGCTACCGTCACTTCAACTCTACTGCGCCTTATTGCCTAGACTGAATAAATCACTTGTGGCTATTCTATCCTGTAGTGTACGAGGAATGCAGGCGGTCTCATCTCTGGCACACCTAGAGATCTCAGTCTATAACATTGTTCAAATGATCATTTAATTCAAGAATTGATTAGGCGACAGATGCCAAAAGCTCGCGAAGGAATTTTGATGCACTTGCAGTCGTTAGGGATGTTTCGGTATTTTGGAAGCTGACCAAATACTCGTAAGTGTCATCTCCAAAAAATTATTTTATATAGTTAATCACTTTGGTCTGTCCGCTAAAAAAAGCACGATCAGTTCCGCTGTTCCGACTGACCTACACTGTTCCATCATTTCAGGATTACTCCCTGACAAGGGAGGTCTTGCAGGACATGGAACGCTTCTTCAAAATGGTTTTCTGAATATTGAAGGGCTCCTTCAAGAAAAACAACTGTGATCTATTTTTCCTGAACGCCTCCAGTGATCCCCGGTGATGAATAATTTTTGCAATTATGGTTTGGGTGCAGCTAGGTCCAGCAGCTCCTCCAAAGGGGGTGGTTTGCTTACCCCAGAACTAAGCCTTGGAGAGAGATTTTATGCTTACCTCAGGACTAAGCCTTGGAGAGAGGACGGACCTGCGCTCTCTCGCAGGTCCGTCCTCTCTTTAAGGCTTAGTCCTGAGGTAAGCATCAAATTGAGGCGGTTTAAGGACCGAGTTGAAGTAGTCCGTCGACCGTCGGGGACCCCATCCCCTCCCCAACATTCAGCATACGGCCCCAGCAGAAACGCCAAAAGGGCTGGTTTGCTTACTCATAGCGCTCGTATACTAACCGCGCATATATTTACAATAAATAACACATAATTTATACAACTGGATTATCGCTTTGCTTGAAAGAACATGTTTTTGAAAGAACAGCCGGCCTCTTGCAGGTTGTAGATTGTTTTTCTAAATTGAGCTGAAGATCTTCACTATTACAGTAGTCCAGAAATTGTGTGGGTTACGATATTGAGAATGTTGACTATTCAATATGTATGCGCATAGTTAAAAATACCAATTGACTAACAATTTCTATTTACACAGGTATTATGATATGCAACTCCGTCAAAAACAGGCACAACAGCTATAACACAATTAACAAAAAAGAACATAAAAATGGCTAGTAACCATTCAAAATGACTAGCCATTTTTGTGTTCTTTTTTGTGCGGCTATTGGGTTACCTCTAACTTAGTGTCGCAGCAATTTACAATGGATCAATCAACACTTCCTTTATCCGCGGAAATGTTTACATTCAACTTTAAGGAGTGTTTTTTCAGCCCTAAAATAAAATAAATTAAATTAGGGTCAGTGATAAAAGAAGAAAAACGAGAAAATGGCGGATTACCTGAGTAACGGAACCCCTTCCTTGCTCGTTGATTC